TTGAGGTGCTTGTGGTGACCCACCTTGCAGAAAATAGTGGCTGAGGTGTCCTGTATCACTTGGCATTTCCAGTTTTGCCATTGGGTTCATCTGTGATATATGTTCCCCTAACTTCCCTTTTCTCTGCTACTAGGAAAAAGGGGATAAAAAGTATTTTTTAATATTCTTTTACTATTTGAGTCTTTCATAAACTACAGTAATATAATGAAAAAAAAAAAAAGTAGAACATTTTTACATCTGTTCCACAATGGACTGTCTCAGATTTTTTGCATAGTGCAGGATGAAACATTCCTGCAAGAGAAAACTTGAGTTCTCCTTGCAAGCTGGTTTTTGTCGTTGCTGTTCTTCCACAGGTGTACCTCGCTGTGGTGCTTCACTTCATGACCTCAACAAAGCCTTAAGGATTGATCAGAGTTCTCTTTGCAAGCTGGTTTTTGTCGTTGCTGTTCTTCCACAGGTGTACCTCGCTGTGGTGCTTCACTTCATGACCTCAACAAAGCCTTAAGGATTGATCTAAACGCAAATGTAAGCTGCACCTGGCAAATTCAGAGGAACGTAAATCAAACAATTAGGCTCATTTTCTCCTATTTTAAGTAAGTATTTCCTCCAAATGCTTTTATACCTTTTCATTCCATTAGAATACAGCACAGACAAATATTGCCTCTAAATATTTCTTTGTCTTTGCTTTAGTAAAATGCTTATTGAATCTGTGTTGTGGACTCCAAAGAGCCTCTATATCTACTGGTGAGCTCAGGTAGTTCTCACTGTGCTTTTTTTTGGTTGTTTTTTTATTTTTTTTTATTTTATTTTTTTTTTAATAGATTTGCTCCTTCTTCAAGCTGTGAAACAGAAAGTATTAAAATATATGATGGTCCCTCAACTAATTCACCTCTTCTTGGACAAGTATGTAACGACACTGATGCAGTCCCAGTACTTCAGTCATCTTCAGACAGTTTAACTTTTCACATAACAACAAACTCTGCGGTTTTCACAAGAAACTTCTTTGTCTTCTATTATTTCTTTTCGCCAGAAACAAGTAAGTCTGAACTTAACACAGTCACTAAAAACCATTTGAATTGCACCATTAAAAGACACTTTCCTATTAAAGGAAGGTTTAGGACAGTAATTAGAGATTATTAACAGAATCTTTAATTAGTCTCATGCAGTTCTTCAGGCCTTAGAGAACTGTGTGGAGAAAAAATGAGTGAAAGGAAAGAGGCAGCAAAACAATAGTGCACTGGCAGAGAGCTTAAGTTCAATTTTACTCAAAAGAAAGGATTGCAAAGAAGGCACTATGGACTCCACTTTTATACACAGGCTTCAGCTAAATTTACTCAGTTTGCAAATCTTATAGCATCTACCCAGGAAGATACTACGACCATCTAGTCAGAACTCCTGCCAAGTACAGGCCACAGAAGTCAGTAAGAGTTTTTATTCAACAAAAGCTTGAACAAAACTTGAACAAACAAACCCAAAACTTCTTACTTTTTTTCCTTAAAAAGTAAGAATAGTTTGGATAAAACCAGTCTTAGCTTATAACCACTTCCCTTGCTTCTGCTGATCTGAGTGGCATGGCATTAAGGTCTTAAAAGCTTCAGTTTTACAGAGCAGTTACCACATCCTTAACTTGGCTGCTGAAAAATTGTGACTTATTTCTAGACCACATTTGTCTTTCTGAGGTTTCCACTGACTTGATTTTATTTTGCCTTTATCTATCAAGTAAAATCTCTCTCAGATTTGAAGATTTCACACTTTCGTAGAAATCAGGACCAGGGCCTCGTAGATTTCTCAAATATAAAGTCTCTCAAGGTTTCTTTTGGTTGGTGTAGCATCTTCATTTCCAGCTTTTCAAGACAGCACCTAATTTACCTGAAATGTCGATATAACTGAATTGCTCATGTATCAAAGCTAATTCATCTAATGCCATCTCAGACGTCAGGTATGCCACAGTGACAACAGGCTTCATTGTATAACATCCATCTGACCTGAAATTCTCTACAGAAGTTCTATCTTTAGTACCTTAAATAATTTCCAAAGGAATGGAATCCTAGAGAAAGAATCCTGCTAGTTACATAACTTTAGATCTTTAATTCATTTTTTTTATGGCTCATTATATACATACTATTATGTTACCAGTGTATCTACTCTTCTTTTCAGAAATTGAAAATTGTGGAGGACACTTAACCGGTCCCAATGGGACATTTACGAGCCCCAACTACCCAGCACCTTACCCTGAATTTACATACTGCATCTGGTACATACAAACAGCAAAAAACTCAAAGATAAACTTACAGTTCCAGGACTTTTTGTGAGTAAATGCCCTAATGCTCTATTACTTTTTTTTTTTTTTCATTCTGCTTAAAAGTATTTCTTTAAATACAGGAAACAGAAGTGCTTTCAAGCTTCTAGAACATCTATACACTTTTAAAACAAACATGCTTTGCTGATTCTGATGATAAAGTCATTGCAATGTGTTCCACATCACTATACATTATCCTATAGCTACTGCAGTGCCAGCCAGTGAAACGCACAAAGCATTTCAGGTGACTAGTCATCAGGTGTAGGTCCATTTTAAGTTAGCCTGAATGATCTGAATTTAAATCCATCAGTATAAATAAGGCTTTTATATTTAAAACATATTTAAACATATTTGAACATATTTAAAACCATCATCTGCATTGTAGTTGCAATTTAGAACTTAGGGTCACAAGAAGAATAAAGCAAATATTAGCTAAAGTTAATTGCAATTTAGAACTTAGGGTCAAAAGAAGAATAAAGCAAATATTGCCCAAAGTATTTCTTCCTCAGTATTGCTGGCCGTTGGGCACAGAGAGCATTGGCCTAAGTGCTTCCAAGTATAAATGCTAATGGATGCATTGGCATAAGGAGGCCAACACTGGCACACGCTTTCCTGACCCATATTGCTCTTTATCAGGGTTGGTCTCCCATACGTAGTGGGCTGGTAGCCCTTTCTTAGCTTTCCCTGCACCACTTAACACTGTGCATGGAGAAGAGCCTAAAGACCAAGGGAATTCAAAGGGCAGTATCTTCAAGAATATTTCTTGAGATATTCAGACTGCTGAATGCTAAGAATTCAGTATGAAATGTATAGATTTTCTATACCACTGCCCTCTGAGAAAATGAACTCTGCACAGTGTGGTGTATGTTCTTACTAGTCCTGATCAGGGTCCACCTGCTGATTCAGGAACAGAGATGTTCTGGAGATATCTGCCCACCACAGTACTGCTGGTACTTTTGGTCAAGGGTAGCAAGCACCGAGATAAGCTCTCATAGAGATTGATAAAAAGGGCAAGAGCCTTCCTCTGGGGACATATACAAGAGGTTTCAGGGACCAGCATAAGTCAACCCCACACTTTAAAAGCTCTTTATTTTAAGATACATGTTTATTTATATATATATATGTATATTTGAACATGATTTTTAGTAAATAAGTAGCAATCAATATACATAATATCAGAGCTATAAAAACAGAGCTGATCCCTCTTCTGTTGAGAGCTATAGCAAAATGTTATTTCAATTGGAACAGAATCAGGCTCTTATTAAGCATTACTTGCCTCTGAGGGTTTTCCATGTTTTATTTGGTTTTAATAATGTCTATTTATGGGTTCTTTTATTCTCCATTCTTCTATTTCAGTCAACTGGAATTCATCAGACACTTTATCTGCACTGGATCCTCTATCCAGTATGAGAAATGCTCTTTATATATAGTCAGACTTCCCTACAATTATTTTTTCTCTGCCCACAGCCTGGAACTAGACCAAAACTGTCAATTTGACTTCACAGCAGTCTATGATGGCCTCACCACTAACACTGGCTTAATAGGAAAAGTATGTGGTCGTGCCCAGCCCACATTTGAATCTTCTTCAAATACGATGACAGTTGTGTTGTCTACAGACTATGCCAACTCCTACAGAGGATTTTCTGCTCAGTACACCAGTGCTCCGCTGCCAGGTCCTGTAGAGCCCGACAGTAAGTACGCTTGCTACGTCAACAGGATGCTGTTTCTTATTCTTGCATGTGATTCTTTCCTTATAAATACCAAAAAGAACTGATGGTTGATCATAGAATCATAGAATGGTTTGGATTGGAAGGGACCTTAAAGATCATCCAGTTCCAACCCCCCTGCCATCAGCAGGGACACCTTCCACTAGATCAGGTTGCTCAAAGCCTCATCCAGCCTGGCCTTGAACACTTCCAGAGAGGAGCAGCCACAGTTTCTCTGGGCAACCTGGGCCAGTGTCTCACCACCCTCACAGTGAATAACTTCTTCCTAATATCTAATCTCAACCTCCCCTCTTCCAGTTTAAAGCCATCTCCCCTTGTTTTGTCATTAACTGCCCTTATAAAAAGTCCCTCCCCAACTTTCTTGTAGCCCCTTCAGGTACTGGAAGGCAGCTGTAAGATACCAAGGGTTTAAGCCTTATTTGTACTCATTAACCTTCTTTACATACAAAGATCTCACATTATTCTCACATATAAAGCTGAAGTTATTACCTGACCCATCTGAGCAAAAGCAAGCCTGTTCTTTCACTTCTTGGTCCTTTTTCTAGCCAGCACCAATGCAAATCTGAGTTTTTCCTTCTTTTGGACAAAGCAGGCATTGTTACTATCCTAGAGATGTAAAGATAAACCTTTTTTGTCTGGTGAAATGTTTTTATTCCCTGAGATACTGAGGAAAGTGTTCTGCACTGTTTAGTCAAACAGGGTTTAGGTGTGCTGTAATTTCCTCTCCCTCAGAGCTGGATCAATTTCCTTATTGGTTCCATATTTTTGCATGTCCATCTTCTCATTAACCCAGGTGGAAAGGGAGCCTCTAAAGCCTTGATGCCTGATAGATCAGTTTCCTCACCCCACCATTCTGCATGAGCACTTTGGTTATTTTTCCTTTTTATAAAGGCTGCAATTTATACTGGGTTTAAAATTAAACTTTCAGCATGAGTTTCACATGGTTTTGCTGATCTAATATTTTTTCTAAGTCGAGCATGAAATTTTGTTCCAACTTCAAATGCACCTGAGCCGTTTGACCCTGACAAATCAAGAACCATCCAACAGATTCAAGGATCTAGACCAAGTGAGAAATGAACAGTTTGTGTTAACTTATTTTGTTCTGTGGTTTGTTTTTTTCTCCTCTTTCAATCACAGCATTCCTCACATGCTCTTCAGATAGCATGAAAATTGTTCTCAGCAAGTCCTACCTGGCCTCCCTTGGTTACTCTGAAACTCACCTACAGCTGAATGATCCATCTTGCAGACCAGTTGTAAAAGATTCAGTGATCTTCTCCTTCCCGTTAGCCAGCTGTGGAACAACTAAAAAGGTAAAGAGGGAAAAAAGTTCTGTGAATAATCCAACAAGAGTTTATGAATGACAAGAACCAGTAAAAGCAGTTGATGAACAGCATATGAATAAGCTAACAGCAGACTGACTTGCACTGAGCTCACCCCCATTGCATGTTTCCAGCCTTGAAGCAGGAAGAACATTTTTCCTCTATAAGAACCTAACGAGCAATGAGCCTTTCACAAAGGCAGTCCAGGAGAATCCCCACAAATTAACCCCAAATGTTTCATTCCCATTCCAACCCAGGTTATCAGAAGTAGCACAGTGTCACACATGCAACTTAATCACTCTCTGTAAGTGATGGGGCTGGCACTGACCCCAAAGCCACAAGGAAAGGGGAAAAACCCCAAGATGTGAAGGTTCCCAAGAGCTCATAGCATTGTTCTGATAAGGGTGACTGAAGTGCAGCTTTAGTACTTCCCACGCTCCATGCAGTCTTCATTAACCTTTTTGCTGCACGGGGTGGTTCAGTGTTTTGGAACAACAGGAGGAAAAAGTTAGTAATGTTTTTTTTGGTTGCAACCTGTTTCATTTTTCAAAGGTATCAAAGGTATCTTTCTGCTGGGCACTTTTGTAACCTTAGTACAATTGCTTTCAACTGCACTGGTCATATAATCACAACTGAGCACTTCGTACGATTCCTTTTACAGGAGGAAGGTGAAAGCATCACCTACACCAACATCATCTCTCTCTCTGCAACTGGCAACATCATCACCCGTCAGAAAAGCGTCCAGATTATCGCGAAATGCAAAATGGAAAACAACTCAACTGTGGAAGTCATTTACATAACGAAAAATAACATAATCCAAAACACAACGGCTGTGGGGAGATACAACGTCAGCATGGCATTCTATGACTCAAGGTCATTCTCCAAGCCTGTACGTCAGTCCCCGTATTACGTAAGCTTGAACCAAACTCTTTTTGCTCAAGTCAGTCTTCATTCCACTGACCCAAACCTTGTGGTGTTTGTTGATACCTGTATCGCGTCTCCACAACCTGATTTTGGATCACCAACGTACGACTTAATCAGAAGCGGGTAAGACTCCAAATTAATTTTATTACCATATCCTAGCACATGAGGAAATATAATCTAAATGTCATCTGTAGTTCTTTTATTCTTGTCTCTCTTCCACTTATCTTTAGAAGACTGTGGTTGGAAGCTAAATTTCATAGACATTTAAAGGCATTACATTAACAGAGCTAGGAAAAAACAAGCACCACATTGCACTGGGGAGAGGAAAAAGCGCATCATTGTACACCCAGGTGTAAAAATAATCATAGAATCACATAATGGTTTGGATTGGAAGGGACCTTAAAGATCATCCAGTTCCAACCCCCCTGCCATCAGCAGGGACACCTTCCACTAGACTAGGTTGCTCAAAGCCTCATCCAACCTGGCCTTAAACACTTCCAGGGAGAGGGCATCTACAACTTTCTTGGGCAACCTAGGAATAATGCCCTAGTTAAATGCTGTAGCCAGTCAATAATAGCAAGAATGACTGTTGTAGGTGGACTCCTTTAACAGATGTGCAAACTCTGTTGCAGCTGCAATAAAGATGACACTGTGGTAACCTACCCACCACTCGAACACTATGGAAGATTCCAATTTAACGCCTTCAGGTTCTTGCGGAGCTTTCCCTCGGTTTATCTCCAGTGTGATGTTTTAATTTGTGACAGCAACAACACAAACTCTCGCTGTACCAAAGGGTGCAGCTCCAGGCAAAAAAGAGCTCTTTCTTCATACACATGGAAAACCAACACCGTCGTAGGTCCCATCCGCCTGAAAAGAGATCTCAGGTCTGCTGATCACTCAGGTAAGAGGAACACACAGAATCACAGAATGTCAGGGATTGGAAGGGACCTCGAAAGATCATCCAGTCCAATCCCCCTGACAGAGCAGGAACCTAAATGAGATCACACAGGAAGGTGTCCAGGTGGGTCTTGAATGTCTCCAGAGAAGGAGACTCCACACCCTCCCTGGGCAGCCTGTCCCAGGGCTCTGTCACCCTCACTGTAAATAAGTTTCTTCTCAAGTTTAAGCGGAACCTCCTGTGTTCCAGCTCACACCCATTGCCCCTTGTCCTACCATTGGGCATCACTGAGAAGAGCCTGGCTCCATCCTCGTGACATTCACCCTTTACATATTTATAAACATTAATGAGGTCACCCCTCAGTCTCCTCTTCTCCAAGCTAAAGAGCCCCAGCTCCCTCAGCCTTTCCTCAGCAGGGAGATGCTCCACTCCCTTCATCATCTTGGTGGCTCTGTGCTGGACTCTCTCAAGCAGTTCCCTGTCCTTCCTGAACTGTGGGGCACATAAACTAAGAATCTGCTTAAGCTCTTCCTTGGTGTAAATCCATTACCTCTGTTTCACTAATGAAATAAGTGAATTATACTAGTTCAAAACTAGTGGCAGCAGAGCCACAGGTTCAAGTTTGTGTTTTGTGAGATCACAGAAGCACTTTTCAAACTGACAGATTGATGGTCTTTTGGATTAAGGGGTACTCTTTGAAGTAGAAAAAGAAGCACTCGCTCCTAGTTACTAAAGTATAGAATCATAGAATGGTTTGGGTTGGAAGGGACCTTAAAGCTCATCCAGTTCCAACCCCCCTGCCAGCAGCAGGGACACCTTCCACTAGACCAGGGTCCTCAAAGCCTCATCCAACCTGGCCTTCAACACTTCCAGGGATCCACAACTTCCTTGGGCAACCTGTTCCAGTGTCTGACCACCCTCTAAGTAGTGCATGCAGGATCTGACTACGTATTCAAAAAGAGTTATGAATGACGAGAGAAGATTTAAGTTTTCCAGATGTGACATATTTTGATAAAGCATACATAGGGCCCAGCCACAAACTACTTGAAAAGCACATTCCAAACCACAATCAAGCCTTGTTAAAACCTGTGTATTTTATAACGGTCCACTCAATTTCACTCAGTTTTATTTGTTGGTACTACAGAAAAACTACGCCAGATGATAAACACAGGTGACTTATTCCATGCAAGGTTAAATCCTCACACTGGATGTATTGCCTAAAATATGAAGAGGACAACCACAGGAGAAGAAACCAAAAGCTCCAGGCTTTCAGATTAGAGCTGCAAAGTAGTTTGCAAGACAACTAAGCTTTAGTGCCCCAATCTGACATATTCCTTAGCACAATTTATCACAGAATCATAGACTGGTTTGGGTTGGAAGGGACCTTAAAGATCATCCAGTTCCAACCCCCCTGCCATCAGCAGGGAACTCCACAGTGGTCTAGATGAGTACTCAGAGCTAACACAGCTTGTCCCTATTTTGTAGTCTGTTTTAAAAAGTTTGTATTGCACTCCCACTATGCTCATTGTTCTAACTTTTATTGAGCCCAAAGCTCTACCTGAGAAAAGTACATTGTGCCACATGCTTTCAGGTATCAGATCTACGAAATATTTAGAATTAATCATGCTCTTAATAGTAATAAGCATATTTTCTTCTTTTTTAAAAATAATTATTTCTTATAATAATTAGTTATTATATATACTAAACAATTAGTTCAGTTATTTCTGAACTCTAGCATCACTTTAAACATGTTCCCATGTATTTCAATAGTGAAATATATTTACATCCATATGCTAGAAAGTGGACACATGTATAACGTGAAAAGGATTCAAGTGCAAACAGACCACACACAAAGTATTATAAAGCATAAATTATCATAGCATCTTTCATGATTTACAGAAAAAGAATGGGTTTTACCAAAGACCAACTAGTAAACCATCAGAATCACAGGGTTAGAACCAAGAGTTTCTTTTTTGCCCAGCCTTCCTTCAGCAATACATCTCCCATCTACCCAGTTCTAAAGATAACAGCAGCACTGCTTGGCAGGAACCGGGCTGCAGAGATACCAAATAATTTGTTAACATTGTGGTGCTCTTCTTCATGATTGTTTTATTACAAATTTTTACAATCCTTCAGTACTAGATTCAGAATTTGCAGTCAGTGTGGGGCAACTCCTCAGAACCAAAGCGTCAGGAAAAATGCTTATGTAATCTCCATTGAAATTACAAGGTATTTAAAAGTTTAACCATCCCACTTTATTTTTTCTCTACACAGAATCCCTCACCAAAGCACATCCTGAAGAAACCCTGAAAGTGCAACAGTACAGCTTCTACACTCT